TAAACATTGCATCACCAAAACTTTCTCATGGGAAAAAGAAAGAATTAAAAATACATGTCATAAACAATTTAAATTGGATTTGAATAAATAAATATTTGAAAGGTAGCAATTATGTACTTATACTACATAAAGGATATGTGTAAGAACAACACTACAATAGAACTAATTAAAGTTAATTATACCATCGACTTGAGTTTATAAGCATATACGCGCATGCACGCACAAATATAATCCGATGATATAACCATGTTATAACCACTGACTCAATCGAAAGTAATTGTACTAATAATTTTGGTCTCGCATCTATTTGAATAAAACGTATTCTACTTAATGTCAGTGGCACATTGCAATATTTTCTTTTTCACGTAATTCAATGTAAACATAAATTGGAATTTTACACTTGTTCTAATCATCTACAAACTCAAATACATTTAAACAATTTGAAAATTTATCTGTAAAAATAATTACGTCAATTTGAGTAATATGTTTAACTTTGTCGTAACTACCGCAAATATATCAAACGATAAGTTAAAGAAAAAAGAAAATGGAAAGATAAAAAATTTAATTTAAGATGCTTTGTTTCTCAAATTCTGAAATTGAATAGTAAAAAATTTGTGAATGATATTTCTCGTCCTTTATTTGTGATTATATTGTCATTAATAGCTATGGAAGTATTTCGATGTCATTTCCAGAAGAACAGCGTAAACCGAGTAGAACCACATGCTTCGCAACGAGATCCCGTTGTACAAAGTCAAGAAGTCAATGAGCGGTCGACGTACACTATCGTAGTATCGGCAAAGTACTACGGTTGGCTTTACAATAAGTACTGTCGAAGCTGGTAATAGGGTGACGCTGTACGGGGTTACCATGACAACAGACTGTAGGCTTTTCCAATCTCTTCCCTTCTGCCAGCATTAGCCCTTATACCTCTCTCCCTCTTCATATTCCTTTCGTTCTCATTTCTATCTCCTTTCCTTTTCTCCATCTCGATCGTAACTCTTATTCTACCTATACGTATCTTACCATCTTCGACAACGTTCACTCACCGCCATCCAAACTCCGTTCATTTCTATTGAAAGTCTCTTGATATCTTTCGCTTATTCTAACATCTTTCATACAAAAAGTTACTTTTTAATTCGATGTATGATCTCTACGTATCTATTTACTTATAATTTACATTTTCGAAATTCACGTCAGTAAAAATAATAATAAACTTCAAAAATGATGAGTTTATTTTACTCGAAAGACTGAAGTACTTAACGGTTAATAGAAGTGTAAATGAACAAATTTACTTACAAGTGGAGTTCTACACAGACAGTGTAGGACATTGGACAGAGTTAACTTGAAATTTCTAATTTTTTTCTTTTTTTACTATTATTATTTTGGAAATATTAATAATTCACGTGCTGATTAATCGTAGCAGTAACTATACTGTCCCTTGACCTATATAAACATCATGTCATTATGAAGAAACATATTTTACTTTATTGTTAAAACTGAGCTTAGTAAATATGATGTGACAAATATAATTAAATGGATATAAATGAATTTTAGAACTAGATTATAATTACATGTTGATTTGTTTATCAAAATATAATTGGTTAATTAAAACTTATAAATAAATAATAGTCTGTTTTGCCAGAAGTATAGCTCGTAGTCTTTGCTACATTATTTTAAAAAAAAGTTCCCTTATTTTGTATTTTATGTATATATATTAAAAATCACCATACAGTTATATGTATAAAACAGTAAACTTTTTAATAATATAAAGAATGCACTGTGTGTATAGGCACGCATATGATTATATATGGCGTTACTTTTTTTTGATTTAAAAGATAATACATAATTTCACATGTATCCTGTTCACATTTGTTTCGTTTCAAGATGGCTATATAAAAAAAAAAAATAAGTGAAAGATGGAAATTCATATCTTTATATAAAATTTTATACTGATTATTACATTGTTTACTAAAAAAAGAGCTAATATAGTTCGATATTTACTACAAACAGTCCTTTAATATCCATAGGTTTAATATCCATAGGATTAATTTTGTTATAATGCTTAGTTCATAAGACTGGAATGGTAAATCAATATAAAAATGATACAAAAAGTTTTACATACATACTACTTATGCACACATTCTTTTTTTTTAAAAATTATACATTCAACTGTACAAATACAAAGTAAAAAATTATAATAAAAGATTTATCACTTTGGTTACTATGAACTTTTCATGATTTACACAACATTTCAAAATTCTTACAACTAAAAATCACAATATAATTAGTCTGTACAATAATAAAAATATGAAATCAAGCAAATTTCATAGCAAGCTTTTAACAATAAAATTAACAATTTCTAGATTAAATTCGTAAAGATACTTTTTATATATCTATTTTATAATTGGAACTTTAAAATTAAATCATCACACAACTACTAAACAGGAATAATAGAATGCTTACAAAGATTTAAGTTTTTTAAATTTTAAATATTTTAATTTAATTGCTAAAATTTTGGATACTGGAATTAAGTTCCTACACATTTCTAAATCTTGTATACAGATCTCGTCATGATATGGAGAAATCAAACATTTACGTACATCGTCGTATATCATGTTATACATACGTTCACATTATAACAAAAAAGAAAAGGAGCTTGCGTATTAGAAAGAGTAAATGCTACCGTTTCTTTTTCATGCCTTTGCGATATCCTTTACCAAACCAACCAGGATTTTTAGCAGTTATTGGAGGATCTTCATGGATCACCAAAGTTTTTGTATCTTTTATCTGTTTACTCTCGGTTGTTATTAAATTAGAATTTTCTGTATCTCGTTGATAATAAAGGCAAGTGAGAGAACCTTCATTTTCCATGCAAAAAGTACAAGTAGGTTTAGGTTTTGGCACGTCTGATGTCATATTTGGTACTTGCACAAACGGATAGTAAAAAAGTGGTGTTAGTTGAGGGCACATGTACATTGGTGGAAATGGCAAACCCATGGACAAAAATGGTAATGCAGTAAAAAATGGTGCTGAATAAGCAGACACTGATTCAGTTACTCTTTTAGGTGAAACACATTCTTTCTCTTTGGTTTCGGATGGAACATCGTGAAAATTATCACTGATTTGGCTTAATTCTTTATGAACAATATCAGATGGCTCTTCCAAACAAGGTTGACTTGTTGTGTACTGTTCATTACTTCTAAGTCGTACAGCATGAAAAAAAATAGGATCCTTGGCACGGTTGTATTGTGGTATTTCCAATCCAAGATGAGTCATAACTCTTTTCATAACTTCGTCGCATTTTCCATTTATTTTCAAAACTGCATTTTCATCTTTCGGCGTCCATTGTAAATTTACAATGTACAATGACGGACGTTTGTGGATCGGCCTATCCATCTGCCACAACCATGGATACTTCTTCAAAACTTTTAAGCTAGAACCTAAACACAATATAACATCCGCTTGTTTCGCTGCTCTTGTTGCACCAGTCCAATTAATTGGCCAAGGAAGATTGCCTCTTTCACCAAAGTGAACAATGGAGTCTTGCAGAACAGAGTTACATCTGTGGCATAATCTTCCAGTGCCATGAGAATATCGAGCTGTTTTTTCAGTAACATCAAATAATCTCCAATATTCTCTATATGGTTTACACATTCTACAAACTTCTACATGCATATTGCCATGAACTTCAGATAAAAGTGTACGAGGTATTCCACTACGCAAATGAAGCCCGTCACAATTCTGAGAAACTATATGTTTTAAAACTCTTGCCTTGTATAAAGCGTAAAGAGCCATATGCGTTAATGTTGGTTCTGCTTGGCTAAGATCATGATTTCTGAAATATATACTAAATTAATAAAAAAAAAACCTAGTAACATAAATAGTAGAAGATCAAGTTTTTGAAGTGAATTATTTCTTTCCTATTATTTTCAATAATGTTTAATCAATTTTGACATTACCCAATATCCTTTCCTTGCTGTAAACGAGTCCAAACGCCATTTGTTCCTCTGTAATCAGGGATAGAAGCAGCTGTACTAATACCAGCACCAGTATAAACAGCAAGCGATGTGGCTCTGCTGATTGCTGCTGCCAATCTCATGCACTTCTCCTCCAAAATTTCTGGTGCATCTTCTACTTCTTCTAATCTTGCTTTCACTCTATGCCTTTTTTCTTGCCTAATAGATTAATAAGTCTTTTTTATAAACTTAATTATCAATGTAACTATCACTAAACTACATTTCTAGAATGTCCATTCATTTGCAAAATCAATAAACAGATTCATACATTATGTCAATATTTCATATTGCACCACCAATAACAAAATAATTAACATTTATAAATGTAAGTACAATCAATGATTTTCAAAATGGCTATACCTTAAATTAACCTCTTTTACTACATCACTACAAGATACAAGTATTCCTGTTTCCTCTGCGGTTCTGTCAGTCTCAGATTTTTGCAAAATCGCTGCTACCTGAAAACCCATAAAAATGTAACATTCCAGCAGTTGTTTACGATCCATCAGGGCAATGCCGGGAAATACATCGAAGTTTTAGATAAAGGTTACGATTAATTAACTACAATCAAGCAAGATGTATTAAAAATTGTATATGTACCTTTTTGAAAGTCGCTACTCGTTCGTCTTTAACTTTAAAAGCCTTAAGTGCTGCAGAACGCCTTCTTGACAGAAACTTCTCATTACCAGCCTCCTCCATCTTTAATCAAAATGACCAGCACGGTGCTGAATCAAGTATCGATACAAAATGATAAAAATGGTTACGATCGCTTGAAATTAATATTTCTAACTATATTAACAGTATCATTATTGATGATATTAATAATGCACACTTTTTGAAATTAAATTGCAATTAAGAACGCGTAAAAATATACGTGTATGAAATATAACTTTTCGCAATTTATACAATTATGACAAAGTTGCAAATGTTATTATTTGTTGTTTTGAACTACTAATATTTCATGACATAGAATAATAATATTAAACTCGCAGAAGTATGTCCTGTACTACGAATACTCTAATTTTGTCGAATATATATAAGTCATTGTAATCGGTTTTATTGCCGATAAAAAAAAAATAAGAGAACACATTGAGCAACATGTTTCTTAACAAAAATTTATAGATTTAAATTGACTTGAGTGAAAAATATTTTATCATTTATTTTGTCATAATTCTATGTATAATATAATATAATATTCTATGTATTGTTTTGTATGACACATTTTGTACAAAAATTCTAAACTTTTGTTAATCATCAATCAATGAAATCACATATTTAATAACATTAAAGTAGAAAGTATGCATAGCAAAATAATACGTCATTCGTTTGAATAACGAATTGCAATAATGAATGATTAATATTTATTACGTTTAATTTTTATAAAATATTAATAATATCAATAAAAATATAATTTAACATAACGTAACTTTTTCTAAATATTTATTATGCAGAATTAAGTCGAAAATTTCATAAAAATGAAACCGAGTAAAATATAATGATAATAATAATAGTAAGTAAAGATAGTCTTCTTTCGTTATAACAAGAAAACTCTAAATACGTACTATAAAACTATACTCAAATACGTAATTTCAATTCTTTTGAAGTACGTTCCCACCTTGAAAATGTAATATCTATAAAATACGTTTATATTTTCTATTAATTTTTTAAGAGAAATTTATAGATTTAAATTGACTTGTATCAAAAATATTTTATCATTTATTTTGTCGTAATATTCTGTCTAATAAAAGACATATAATTGCTCTATATGACATTTTGTACAAAAATATTTCTAAACTTAATGCAATCAATGAAACCATATACATATGTTTAATAAGACTAGAAAGTATACATGACAAAATAATCGTTAAATACGTTATTCATTTGAATATTTCATAATTACAATATTAATTAATAATTATTAATTAAAATATATTTAATTTATTATTACGTTTAATTTTCATAAAATGTTAGTAATATCAGGAAAAACATTAACTTTTTCTAAATTTAAGTTAAGATTTATAGTAACTTTTTCTAAATTTCTAGAACAAAAATTATCGTGAAATTAAATCGAAAATTTCGTATAATGTAACAATAGTTTGGTTTCGTAATAAATAAGAAAATTATCAGGTACGTAATTTCAATTTTTCTGAAATTCGTTCCCGCCATTCGGAAATGTAAATATTATACGTTTATATATTTCTATTGTAGTACGAATCGATAACTTTGGACAAATTAGCGATTATATTTTCGATATTGTATTTTAGTTTATCATTTACAAACAATGAAAATTTAACGTTTATGATTTCTATTTGCGCTGAACAATTACAGTTAGAATGAGTAGGTTTCCACTAGACTAGTGGAAATGGCTTGACAATTAGTCATGCCAGGTTTAGAGGGAAGTATTTCACGCGATGCCAGTCTTTGTACGGTCAGCCTCATGTCAGATGGGATCGTCTCCGAGGAAGTGAAAAAATTTTTGTTCACGTCTCGTAAAACTCAGGATAACATACAGTGCAACGAGAGTTTGGAGATTTATATTCCGGAGGTATTAAAATTTTTCGCTAATTGATACATCGTCAATTCATTTTTGTTGCACGCATATCGCATATACTTTCAGTAATTTTCTTTAAATATATATATATATTTTTTTTTAGTGAAACAGTAATTCATGTGTTTTCAACGAAGCAACGAAGAAATGTTTTGCAATTAAATTTGTTACTTTGATTGATCATGAAATATTTAATGTTAAAGAATTTAAAAAATCAGCTTACTTTTTTAAAACGCATTGCGAACAGGTTAAGACTTAAAGTCTTATTTTTTCTTCACTTCGTTTTAGTATCACAGACTATTTAAAAAACTGTGTCGAATAGTACCATGTGGCACGATAGCGTTTCCTTGATGTAAAGTGCGAAAAATGCCAAGCAACGCGACAAAAGTAGACAAAGTAAAAATTGTCTATTTATGCAATGTGATTTAAGTTTAATTGAAAAGAAAGTAATTAGAAAAGGAAGTTTTGATATGACTGATGACGTTATAATGGCGTTATAATCGAAAGTAAGCACATTGTACATTGAGCATCGCGATCACTACCACTGTGATACAATTCGACATGAAATCTGAAAAGTACGATCGCACTACATGGTATTAAAACGTTTAAAGTTTTAGTAAACTACAGCAGGCTTAAGCTAATTATTTTCTGTTACAGTTACTTCAAGCTAACTATAGTTTTTATACATGGCCCTCCGCACCCGTATTAGCTTGGTTTCTTTGGGAACATAAAGAAGAACTCATTGGGAAAAGAGTTTTAGAGCTTGGATCAGGTACAGCTCTTCCTGGAATTTTAGCTAGTAAATGTGGTGCTATTGTAACTTTAAGCGATTCTGCTAGTTTTCCTAGAAGTTTGCAGCATATAAGGAGAGGTTGTGAATTAAACGGCATATTATCTCAGGTTCAAATTGTTGGGATTACGTGGGGTTTATTTCTGTCTAGTTTATTTTCAATTGGACCATTAGATTTAATTCTTGGCTCTGATTGTTTTTATGAACCAACGTTATTCGAAGATATAGTTGTTACAGTAGCATTCTTGTTAGAAAGAAATCCAAATGCAAAATTCTTGTGTACTTACCAAGAAAGAAGTGCAGATTGGTCTATAGAACATCTGTTAAATAAATGGAATCTTACTTGCACTCATATATCATTGACTGGACTTGGAGCAGATTCTGATATAAACATAAATGAATTAATGCAGGATCATACAATTCATTTGTTAAGTATACAGCGTAGAGCTTAAGTGGGTTGTTTGCCATGGCTGGAAGATATTTAATTTCTATACGTAATATACCATGGATTGTTTCTCACACTGAGCTTGAAAAATATTTTTCAGTATTCGGTGATGTAAAAACTGCAAAAGTTGTATTTAATAAACTTGGTTTAAGTACAGGTTACGGATTTGTAGAATTTTATGATAAAGCGGTAATGAATTATGTACTGAGAAAATATCATGTTTTGGAAAATGAAAAACTATCTATTACTGAAGGTCTTAAATATTTACATGAAGATTCTGTTAAAAAATTTGTAGATGAACGCTACCTGGCATTTGACACTGACGCATATAAAGAAAATCTGCCTAGGACAGATATAGAAGATATAGAAGAGGACAACAGCAAATTGCAATATAAATAAAGATTCAGTTATTCATCATTTATTGAGACATTCAGAGAAATAATATAATTATTGTCAAAATGAATCTTGAAAAAAGATTCAATAAAGCAGCGGCGTATTTACAGTCAATGGTATCAGAATTAGATTCTGCACATCTGATAAAATTCTATGCTTTATATAAACAAGCTACGGTTGGACCTTGTAACACTTACCAACCTTTAATGTTTATGGGCAATGTAGCAAAAAGATGGCAAGCGTGGAAAAAGCTTGGTGACATGAGTTATGACGATGCTATGAAAAATTATATACTTGAATTAGATAAACTTAATCCCGAGTGGGATAAACAATCTGAATCTAATTGGGTTGTTATTAGTCGGTTGATAAGTATGGAAGATGAAATAAGTGATGCAGATAAAACTTTTTTGGATTGGGTAAAAGAAGGACATATAGAAAAAGTTCAAGAATTACTAGATAAGAAACCCAAACTTGCAAATTTAATAGACTCAGAAGGTCTATTACCCATACATTGGGCTGCTGATCGAGGCCATTTAGAAATTATTCAAAAATTGATTGAAAAAGGAACAGATGTAAATGCACAAGACGAGGATGGTCAAACACCACTGCATTATGCAGTATCTTGTGGACATCATCATGTTGTAGAATATTTAGTTTCTATTGGAGCTGAATTTATAGAAGATAATAACGGTATATCACCTAAAGATATTGCTGGTGAATTTTAAAGAAGTATTGTAATTAAATGTTAAATATTATATATAATTTTAGAAATATTGTTAAATTAATTAATGGTAAATTTGTAATAATTCATAACAATAAAAGATACTGAAGAGACTTAATCTCGTTTAAAATTATTATTTGAAAAAAATAAATATTGTTACATTAGTCTTTATTATAATTAATATATCAGTTATATATGTATTTGCTAGAAAAAAGAATATAAAAATTAAAATGTTTAGGTGATTTGTGTTGCGTTACAAAAAATTTGTATATTTTTATTTTTTTTATTTTTACTTAACTAATACAACAATTTAATATATATATTTTATTTAATATAAATTCTGAAATAAAAATTGGTTGTTTGATGAAACGAATAAGAATATGAATACGAGATATTTAAACATTTATCAGGTAGTTTTTGAATAAAGTATTACATTGAGTTATATCGTCAATCAATTACAAATGCCAATTATTAAAACGAAAACAAATAACGATTTGTAATACATTTGTTGACGTTCTCGTTTATATCATTTATAAGATGATGGTTTGATATAACGTATTACATTAAATCTATTAACTTTCTTTTTTAATAATGTTATTTAAAAAAAGCTAAATCGTAATTTCAATGCAGATGAGATTTCATATAAAAAAATAAATATAAAATTAGTTTTTTATTATTGCATATTTGTAGAAATAAGAAAGATTTTTTGATGAATGAATGTTATTAAGAGTTAATATATACAATATATTTATCAATACATACATTTTTTTACATTTAAAAAAATATTTCATTTTGAAAAAGTAAAATTTGTTAATGGATTGTAAAATTTTGTAAATTATAAATATTGCATCAGTAAATAAAAACAAAATAATCTTATACATCTAATACAACAGAATTAACTTTGAATACAATTGGAAAATCATATTAAATATTATTTTTGTTTAAGCTAAATAACTGAAGTTAAAACAACTGAAAATTTTAGAATTTTTGGCAATATAAATTTTATGTTATCACAGTATTGTTATTTTGTAAAACAAATACACGCAATAGACGCCTATTTATTTACATTGCAGTCAAAATATTATTTTATCCAAAATTATTTTTCGTAACAGCTTAAAACTAATTCCAAAAATTCATTTCTTTCCTTTTTTTTTATAAGTAATCACCTTATTAAATGCATTACAATCTAGCATATACTCTGTAAATATAAATAAATTACATACAAAATACAAACATGTTATAATTAATGCCAAGTATGTTCCATTTTGTATTACATAATAACCATACTGAAATTTGTGTGCTTAAAACATATGTCAATCTAGAGAGATCAAATGCCACATCATTTTAGACATTTACGTTTATACGTTTTCATTATTTTTACAAATATAAAAATCGATAAGTTGCAAAAATACTAGAGTTAAATATGGAAATAACATATATAATTTCTTTCAATTACCTTTAATATATAACTATAAAAACTTAAAAATGTTTAATATTACAATTGCAAATTTATTTTTCGCTTTTTGCTATTTATTACCATTTTAAAAATACAGAAGAAAACATATTTCTCATTTTCTGCACAACTTCAAAAATTTTGTTTAAATGATGTGCTATCAATTTCAATGTGATTGTTAAATATTCATTTCACTAAAAGTAGGAAAACTTATATAATTTCTGTTAAAAGTTTCCTGCAGTTTCATATTGTCTTATAAGAAATATAGCCTTTCATTTTTTTTTCTTTCTTTAAATATTAATTTAAAAGTTCTCTTATGAATGTAGTAATCACTTTTTACACAGTTAATTCTAGAGATTAGTACTTTCGTGTTCTGATTTAATTCGCGCGGTGGGTGGAGGTGGTGGCGGCGGTTGTGGCCGCGGAGGCCTTTGATGAAATCTTGGAGAGGCCGGAACAGGTTGTTGCGGTGATTTGACAACAACTACCGTCTCAGTCTGAGTTTGAACATCGATAATATTTCCTTCTGATCTGGTTCGTACGTGAGCTTTCGTTTGTTCCGGAGCGTTCAATTTGGCTGGCTTTTCCGGTCGTTCGCCGTACAAGGACATAGATGACGGTCGACTACCTACACTGGGGCTCCTCTGTAAGTTCGAAGCCGCGTTGCCATTGTTGTTCCCCGAGGTGCAGAACGCATTGCCATTGCCACGCACTTGTATTATACTGACCTGTTGTTTGTCCACTGAATATACATGAGCTCTTTCCAAAGTTAAAGGCTATAGGTTGTTAAAAAGGAAAAAGATATTAATAACCTTAAAAAAAATCATCATGCGATTTGACATGTTAAAATGAAAATAATTTTCAACACAGTTTGTTCTTCCTTTTATATATTGCTTACGTTATTGTATTTCAAAATGCAATATCCAGGCAGTGATATTTGTCGAGTCCACTGGCAGTAACTACATTTATTTTAAAGAATTATCTTACATATACTGAAAATGAACGTAACGTTCAAAAACTCTTAGACACTCACCCCTGTTTCGCTGTCTAAGTTCTCATTGCTGTGCCGTGGTTGTTGTTGTTTAATGAGACTCGAAGGTCGAATTAATCCGGCTGGTCGTTCTGGAATAGCTGGTTTACTACTTCTATCAAGTGTGCTTGTACATACAGGATTATTGTCCGTCTTCTTACGTAATTCGACCATTTCTTCTACAAGAGTAAAGTATATATTGAACACATTCTGTATTACTTTTTTTTTAATAAAAAATTATTTAAATATTTACCTGTATTATGTACTATGTTGGTTATACTTCTTGGAGCAGCTACTGGTCTGCGTCTCTCTAGTGTAGAAGGAAGCGGTTTTTCAGTTGATGTCACCTTCAATTTATGTGTTGAATTTTCTGAGTTTTCTAGTTCTATAATAGATTTATTGCATACTGCATTTTCTATGGTATTTCTCTCAAGAGCAACAGGAGTGTATAATTTCTTTTCAGCTTTTTGATTTTCTTGGTTAACCTTTTCAGTTTCCGTGTTCGTATTGTGTAAATCTTCTTGTACTTCGTTAACACGATCTGAACAATCAATTGACGAAGAATCTATAAGTGCATTTACTTCAGTATTGTGTTGTTTAGTTTCTGTTTCTATCCCTCCGTCCTGCTTATCTGTGTTATTGTCATGTTTTACGATTGACTCAGTATTTATTGTTTCGTGTTTTTTCATACGATTAAGAGTTGATGTTAAAGGTCTAGGTGGTTTATCAGGCGTCGGTGGTGGTTTATCATCAGATTTTTTATCATGTTTATCTGGAGTAGTGCTATTTGGTGGTGTTGGAGCTGGTTTGTTTTTCCTGCGAGCTGCTGGTTTAGGACTACCTTGTGGAGGGCTTTCTCCATGATCACTAAGACTGCTATTGGAAACACAACGACGCATATTCGTGGTTTGATTTTCTGAACAGTTTATAATACCGACATCTAAATCACGATCGAAATCTATTTCACCAGGAAAAAACCAATCTGCATACGTGATCAATTGATCAACTATAAGACTAGAGTTATTAGCCGTGCTCATATTCATTCTGAAATAATGAATATTAATAGAAATTACCACGTAGCTTCGTAATGATTAATTATACAAATTACATAAATAAATAACATTCTTACACCATTGTATTTACATCCTCCTGTGGACTCCATATTAAGTTAGGCGCGATTACAATTGCAATATTTTGTGGTGACATTTTGTTCACATCTTGATTTTTAGTGAGAACAGCTAAAAATTTAATTAGGAACCGTAAATTTTCTAAATTTGCAGGTGGTAACTTATGTAACACCTCCCAGAGAGCTCTCAATCTTGTTTCATTTTGAGTTATCTTCGCAGCTGTCATCCATTCAGAATATAATCTTTAAAATAAGAAGAAAACACCATATGTAATGCCATAGTTCTTTCTATCATTATCAAGGATAATAAGTATTATCTTTATACATTTACTTGTACGTTAGAAGAGGCTCGGGTAATTCTCGAAGGTAAGATTTTAATGCGCCAGCAATTACATGTGGATCTTTGTATTCAAGAGCAGTTGGTAATGTGAGGCAGCATGCATCTAAACTCAGTTTAATTCGTCGTGATTTCGACGCAGCGCCAGCTATTCTAAAAAGGCCTTCTTCTTCCATACCTAATCTTAGCAACGCAGACACACACAATTGAATGGGCAATGCAATCTTTCTGTTAGTTACTCTGAGATGTTCTTCCAGAGGATAGCCATAAACTGGTTTCATTTCATTATCATCTATAATTATGGAAAGGACTACATGTGAATGAAAATTTTTAGTAAATTTTGGAAGCATAACGTGATAAAAATCCTCGAACACAGCAAATGTTTATGGTTTACAAATACATTTGGGTACTCACTAATATAACTTTCTAATCCAGGAATGAGGTCTTCGAGACAATGCAAAGCACTTTCGTGATAAGCTCTTTGAAGTTTCACGTATTGTATAATAGTGTGTGCCAATTCAGCTTCACGTGACATAAGTTGAAACATTTCTGCGGCCAGTTGATCTCTACATTGTTCAACTTTAGTTTCCGCCTCCTCTAATTCTTCTCTTAAATTATCTACCTTCGTTGCACCTGCACCTATTGCACAACATCAATTTCAAAAGTTGAACGTAATTTTTGTAACTTAAAGGTCAAATTAAAATTTCTTCATACTAGCACTATGTTTACTGGCTTGTTGATATCTTGTCCTCACGCTGTCCATATCTAAAGTTAATCGGGCTAAATTTCTTTTATGCTTTATAATATTTGGTACGTCTGTGTCTAAAATATGTTGAAGCGGTATTGCAACATATTGTTCAACTTTCGCTTCGTGTTCAATTTCTTCATTCGCTAAATACACCTGCGCACGACCACATTCGGATAAAGTAAAACCCATGAGGCCATCTTCAGAGGCATTTTCCAACATTGTTTGCCCTAATATATATTCCGGACATTTTTTCTAGATAAATATACAATTAAAAATGAAAACGAAAGGAACAGTTATCATACAAAGAGTTTAAATGCAATTCTCATTGTGCATTACCAATCGTTTTTCTTTAAGCGCAACATCTTGTATCATAGCCTGATTCAGTGGATTGCCAAGTCTCTTGTTTAATCCAATGAGAGCCATCCTAATTTGATCTACATGTTTATCTGCGGCTTGCAAATCATCCGTAAGCACTTCGGTCTTGCCAGCTCTACAAAAAAAACGAAAATCTCGTTTAACAACTTTACACATTGACAAGTCCAAACTGAAGTAATGTTCTTCAAAGCCAATCCATTTTAAGATAGTCTGATTCATAAGCTATTTTAGTATGTCTCCTTCTATTAGCACATCTTCTTCTACTGAACCCTATCCGACGTTTTCACTTCAACGTTTAAATTTCTATCTCGCAAATTTCACAAGAGAATAGAAATTATTTCTTATTGTAGGCAATAAGAAGATATGTTCTGTTCAAAAAATCGTCGAGTATTTCATGTATCGATGGCAATACGTAGAAAGTGAATACGCGTTCTACAATCGTCTTGAAAACTTAATTTTACGAAAACGGAATTACGATTACCTGGAAAATGTTTGATCGGCGAGCTGTTTGACTCTGAAGAATTGTTTCTTCATGATTGACATACAAGCACCTAATGCTTATTATGTAAAAGAAGGTTTCACGTTGATCCACTGCGGCTACCACTGCTTCGTGATCTGTTAACTGCACCTACGTTCACGACCGCACATGTTTAGCGTAATCGCGCAAAGGCGAAGGAACACACGGACGGTGAAAAAAAAAAACAGACAAAACCCTTCGTATCGCTTGAAGGACAGCAATTCGTCATAATGTTTGTACAACGATCGCACACCTTTTACGCACGAACAAACAACACGCTCTGACCGGTGTACTCTTACACGCTGTTGACGAGCCTGCATTCACGAGAACGTGTTACGAGATTCACCGTTTGTATCTTAAATTTGCAAACGTGTCAGAACCTCGGGAACTTTTAATCGCGGCATTTTGTTTCCTTGTTCACCATTGGCTGCTCAACGCACCTACGAAACCGAAAACGGACGTCCACGTTACTCATCGTTCGGAGAAACTTTTTGTCGCGCGACAAAAGTTCGCTTCTCTCTTCGAACGGGCCTTGAATTTAATTTCTATCGGGATGTTCGATAACGGGGGGGACAACAAGTTTTTACTATCCACAGTCGGCCATTCTTGTTTCCCATTGTGATTTCGTTCGGAACGAGAGATCGTATCGATGGACGCGGGAAATTTGAAATGGTCGATCGCGAAACGCGTCAATCAATCATACGCATCAGTCAATAAGTGAAAATTTTTTAATTTGTGCCTGTGCCTCTGTGTGTGTGTGTTTTATAAAGACCAAACATTTTGATGTTTCGTTAATACTGTAACGAGACAGGACTGCAATATATTGGTCAAATTTGAAATCAATCTGAGGATGTACAGGGTGTTCGGTAATTAGAGATAGAAAGTGATTCTATGTAAAAAAATACTCATTATCATTATAAATAAAATAAAAGTTTGTATTCTCAGATTAATGTACTTAAATTTTCATCTATGTGAATAATTTTCAAATATACGTTTAAATACAAATGTTAATTTTAACCTTGCTCATTTCTGCTTTACGTTTGCATCTTGTTTCAAATGTCTTGTTTCTTTGAAGTACTTTATTCATAAAAAGCATGAAATATACGAATATTAAATACCAAAATTAGATATTTAAAAATTTATTTGTGATATATTCATCAACTGTATAAAAGCTAGGTGTTCTATAATACTTTGAGTGTTCTGTAATTACAGAATAGGAGGTGATTGTACATGACAAAACGAGTCGAAAGAAAAGAATAAAGTTTTTCTATTGAAGTTTTAGTTTTTGAGAAAATCGAACTTAAAAATTTATCGAATACACGTGTGACAAGACAATCCTTAACGAAACATATTTTCTTCTAAAATGAAAAAATTTTGTTCCACTCTCTTCAATTATTTTTGCGCAGGATATTCTTGTGTCGATTATTCGCGCCTGTCCAGTACGAAATTAACTAAATTCAAATATGCTTGATAAATTTTTCAAATTCAACTTTTACAAAAACAAAGGCTTCAATGAAGAAATTGTATTCTTTCTTCTCGGCTTGTTTTTTCACCTTCTATTCATACCACTATTTACGGGACACCCTGTACATAAAAGTTACAAGATATTCATTGCAAACATGTATTTAGGAAAAATTATATAGCTATCGTCAGAATATAATAAGTGTCAAATATACCAATTTGGTGCATTTGTTATTCTACGAAATATTTTTCGGGATAATGTTACTATATGGCGTTAAATATTGCAATCATAACCTATTTATAGCAAGTATCGATATATCGATGCTCGTTCTAACACAACGTATCATGTAGTCGATAAGAAGTATATCCACCATAGTTTGACGATGACTTCAAATCATGTCAATTGAGGAAGAAGGGAATTATATATTGTTGGCAATCGCACATTCGCTTCTATTTCTCACTTAGATCGCGACCATCTGTTTACTCTTGAAATTTTAATACTTCACTCCGAATACTTGACGATACTTGAGCGTGCCCGCGGAAAATTTTCTCATTTTTTTTCTTGATTTTTCCCTCCTTTTTTTTTTATTTTCATTGATTTTAGTTAAAGTGTTTATTATGAGATTAGATAGAAGCTTTATAAATGTAATGATACTGAGCTGGGGATTTATGCTGTTATTTACCGCATTTCAGACATTGGGAAATATCGAGGTAAGTTTGAAAAATAGATAATAGATTACAATGATATTTTACTTGAATTTTTTCAAAAAATTTTTTTTTCAGTATAGTTTATGAGAACATAAATTTTGTTTTATATTCATCCATTTGTTGTACAAAAAAATTTGAAATCTGATTAGTAATTTTTGTAAAAACAAGCTAAACAAGGATTTTAATTTAATACAGCTGGTCATAGTATTTACTACAATAATTTATTAAAGTTATCTTAAATATATTTATTCACATGCCAGAATATTGTATGCTCAAAACATATTGTATTCAATGTTATTGTGTACGGTTCAAGTTATTTAGTATTATGTATAATAAATGTATTTTTGGAACCATTAAACATTAATAATTAAGTCATCTGGTTAATAATTTTCTTCTTTAAATATGTATCTGTACTTATATAATATTAGTGAAGAAAATATAAAATATATTTCATGTATTACATATATAGTTCTCTATTAGTTCTCTAACCACGTAATTATTACATTCATATGTCGAATGCACTTGACAATTTGGAAACAAATTATTGACAATTATAATATTAATTATAATCTAATGTATAATATACATTAAAATAAACTTATAATCATATGCCATCATTACATAATTGATAGATAATCATTTCTAGCTTTTTTGTACCCTTTATGTATCTTGTTCCAGTTTAAAGTTATTCTTCCATGCAAAGTAATATACATATTGATAATAAAGTTTTAGATGATTTTCATATTCAGTGCTATCCAATGAAATCAGTCGATTACTTGCCATAGTGTTGAAGAAATATTTTTTGTATAAGTAAATTGAGCATATAAAGAACTTAATAGAATATTTGTATTCATTTTCTAATAAATATTGTTTACAACAATTTTAGTATTAATGTAATTTTTATAAATGTATAATTTTTCTTATTACAAATTTGTTATAAAGATAGAAATTAACCAATTTTGAATCTGGCCGGCAACTAAAACTTTTTGCAGGACATCATTCTGCAAATTTTAAGGAAATTATAAGGAGTGGATAATTTTGAAGATGATGGAAAAATTATAAAAAACAAGCATAAACTGTGGAATATTGCCATTAATAAATTTTATTAATATCCGTTGTATTTTTTCAGATCATAATGCATCAATAAAATAATGATTCCAAAAATAAGTGATTATTGATCATATCCAAATAAACATAAAGTTATTGTTACTAGTAAGAGTTCTACATTTTGGATTTCTTAAAACCTCTTGCAAAAAGCTTTTATTGCCAATCAGGTCCAAAATTGTTCAATTTCTGCCATGGTCTTTGCAAGATGAATTTAACGATAATGAATTTAATGATAATTTGCCCAAATTGTAAATGTTCATTTGCCAAATATCTTTATGAAATGTTAATGATGAATATCACGTTAGTATCTTTTAGAAAATCAATGATCTGCGAGAGAAAAAACAATCAAATTGAATTGCACGATATACTTTGAGATCAAATACATTTTTTATTACGATTGCAGTTATAAGCAATAAAATTTAAACTGATAACATTATTATCAGTGTAACTCGGAGAGATTTGATAACGAAATTTGATGTTATTTTTATATAAGAAGAATAAGAAGGATTTATATAAATCTATAATTCAAAGTATTACTTTTTTAAAAATAAAATGATAAATATATCTATTACGTCACAATTTTTGTAATAGGAAACATAATAGAAATATTTCTAAGATATAAGCTAAGAGACACAATGTTACATGTTAATAAGATAATATTGCCATTATATTTTTACTTTTATAGTGTGATATACATGTACATAATATATAGAAATATATACATACATATTACGTTACACCAACACGTACGTATGTAGGACGTGTTTAACAAATCGTTCAGTGCATATGACAGGAAAGAGATATTAGTCAATTGTTAGGCCTTGATAGATTCTATTAATTCTATTAAACAATAAAAGTGAAAACAGAGTCATGATCTAGTTTGCATTCAATTCAATATAGCAAACAGATAATAATTGTACAAATAAAAATGTCTATTGAAATAAGGTCGGCACGTAATTTAATATTTATCTTTTGAAAATAACATTTAAAAATTGAGGTTATCATTCAGTTGTGCATGTTTCTTTCTACATATGTATATATTTTTGCATTAGCTTATTCTAATTTATTGTCTATTAACATATGGAATATTGTTAATTTCTTTAATCGATCTGCCGATGATGATTTTTGAACATCATGTTGGTAGATGATACAGGACATATAAAAGTCTGTTTATTTATATGCACAAGCTTCATGTTTATGCATAAAGCTGGTAGTGCTCTTTTACAATACTTTTGTCCAAAATATTACATTGTTCTGAATAAATGAATTAATAAGTAAATATGAACATCATTATTTATTTATTTTTCTTGAACATTAGTGTCCATATTACATAATATTTACTAAAATAAAGTTACTCCTTAAGAAGTTTTTAAATATCTTCTCATTGTACAAATACTTTTGTCCCTATTGCTTAATTGAAACACTTTTATGTTAACATAATTAAATAAATGAAAATCTCTATCAACATTAGACAACCGTATCAAATATTCAACATATAAATCATCATAATTTAAATTATAGTTAAAATAGATTTATACAATTATGTCTTTATCCAAATAGAAATTAATATTAATCTTGACATTGATAATTGAATTGATAAAAACATAAACGTTAATTGTATTCTGTTACATTAAGGCTTATTTTCTGTGCAGAAAACAGTGCTGGATAGTATTCACAACGATGATCCGAATTTCACCGGCGATGCCTACGTCAGCTTAGCTATAGTTTATGCGGCGTTCGCTATATGCAACTGGCTAGCACCGTCGTACATCTCGGTAACAGGACCGCGTGTTGCTATACTGACCGGCGCTTGTTTCTACGTGCTTTTCCTAGCATCTTTCCTCTGGCCTCAAACTGTTCTGCTCTATGCCGGTTCCTGTATCATAGGTCTGGGAGCTGCGTTGATATGGACTGGACACGGGCAATATTTAACGGAGAACAGCGACTCGAGCACGATGTCCAGGAACACCGGAATATTTTGGGTGATATTTCAGTTCTCCATATTCGCTGGCAACATTTTCGTTTACTACGAGTTCAAGGAATCAAAGATCGATGCGTCCCAACGGAAATTCGTGTTCAGTGTGCTCACCGGAGTGGGGTTTCTCGGCACGTGTTTACTCCTCGCGTTGAGAAAAGTGTCGCACAGCTTGGTTTTAGGCGAGGCGGAAGGTGTATCCAGCGCTGACAAGGAACTTCGAATACCAGAACCAGCGAGGAAGAAACCACTGTTGGCTGCCTGGAACGCTTTGGCCGATGCGTTTGCTCTTTTCATTACACCGAGAATGCTTCTCTTGTCTGTGATGTTCCTGCACACCGGACTGTTGTTGACGTTCTACTCGGGCGTCTATTCGTCCAGCATCGGATTCACCAAAGCGTTGGGCGATCTTCGGAAGAGCCTGGTCGGCCTTTCCGGGATCTTCATCGGGATCGGTGAGGTGATCGGCGGCACCATCTTTGGCATCTGCGGCACCAAAGTGTCCCGCGTCTGCGGCGTCTGGACAGTTGTGATCGCCGGATTCTGCGTGAACCTGTTCGCCTTCATTACCATTTTCCTGAATTTACCCAACGACTCGCCATTCACCGACACCGACAGCCCAGCGTACATCGCCACGTCGCCGATTCTGGCGATGGCCGGGAGCCTCGCTCTCGGTTTCGGAGACGCCTGCTTCAATACTCAGATCTACTCGTTGCTGGGCACGATGTTCATGCAACAGAGCGCATCAGCGTTCGCGGTGTTCAAGTTTTGCCAATCGATCGCCACGGCGGTAAGCTTCGCTTACAGCACCGTCGCTCACCTCTACACGCAACTTCTCATTTTGGCGATAAGCAACGTCATTGCTACTGTTACTTTCTGTTACGTTGAGCACAAGATGAGAACAGAGAGAGAGAACAGTCACTCGGAGAGCGATCTGACGAACGATTGATCTAGATCCAGGAAGATCGTGACGTTGCGTTGACGTAATATCTTCATTTGTTAAATTTTATTATTCTTTAAGATGGAAAAAAGTCCAAAAGATTCATTCGATATCGTCACAGTATTTCGTTTACCATCGAGATCTTATAATTTTATAAAAAGTTAAAGAGGAACTATTGACCATCTTTTAAACCATCTTTCAAATCAACAGCTTGCTCCTCTATTGCACTTTCTGAATGATATTACGTTCGCGCGATTTTTATACGTTGTTTTATCTCTTGGTTCTTTAACGGATTAAACCGAGAAAAGAAACATAAGTGATGCTCAAGAAAATGAATTTATTTTATCGTGGAAGGAGTAATGGGAATGATACGTTATTTTGTTAAAGTAAATGGATAAGATGATTTTGTTATGTGTATATATGTATATTAGGTTAAAGAGCGTGAAACATCGTTTCTTTGAACGTGGCGTGTCAATATGCGTTTGATATGCATTAATCTGACACTAACACTTTCGCTATTACTGATTCATAGATTGCCCCGTCTCTCGATATGTATTTTGTGTCTACTTTTGACTTTTTAATGAACGACTTGAAAAGATCAAAGGTAGCAGTATTATTATTGAAAATAAACTTCTGACGAAGGCAATTATATTTCTGTAGCAGCGGTTGTGCTAGGCAAAAATGAACAAGGCATGTGCATTGTCAAATCATGTAATTCCAGCGTTTCAGTACCACATTAAAAGACTGCGTTTTTATTAATTATTATAATGGTTATTATCTAAGAAATTTTAAAACTCGAGATGGATTATATATTTTTATTTTATATATACAGTATATTGTGGAATAGTAATGACATTAAGTCTCGTAAAATAATTGTAAATAATTCCATTAGATTCAGGAAGTGGATATTTTTGAATCCTCTTTATCTTCTCTTAATCTCTCTATCTACTTTTTATCTACATGTGTAAAGATAAATGTATTTTTCGTATGAACCTTGTTATTTATAAATCCATTTCGAATGATGAATGTCACCACGATGATCAAGGATCATGAAAATAGAAAAAGTATCGAGACAAGAATTTGCTTTGCGTGGAAAATTAAGCTACAGGAAACATGAAACCACCTCCGGTGTCAATGCAATATATCTTTCGTAAACTGTTTGCAGAATAATTTGTGCTGTTGCAAGATATAGTTGTCGTAAAATTAGAATTGTACAGAATATTTTGAGTACTTGAAAGTTTTATCACTTATCTGTACACAAGTTGTTCAAGCTACTGCCGTACACTAGTTTCCAAGCATTTTTGATAATCAAATCAAAAAATGTAGTCAAAGAAAAAAATTAATTAAAAAAAATCGACCTTTGTCTTTTTATCTAAAGACAAAGATCTCTTTGTGACAGTGACTATTGTAATTTGACTGGTCCAAAACTGATTAAACTTTTATCTGGAATATCTTTTTGATTGTCGGTTACAAGTCCTTGAAAATCCATGTGAATTTCTAATAACGTGAATGCTTTGCATAATGATTTCAGATCTTTGCATTGGGAGGAATATTTAGTTTGTACGAAGATTAAAAATTACTATTTTGTAAATATGTTTTACTTCGATTAATTGAAGTTGAAATAACAATAACCTTGTTCTAAAGAAATTAGAATTGTAAAATGTTGTGGTACAAGATGTATTTAGATATTGTTGAAGCGAAAATAGCTATATTTAAAAAAAAAATTTGACGAGAGAGAGAGAGAGGAATTGTTTCTATTTAAATAAATAGCACAAACTTCTATTGATATGAATGTTTTGTAATTTGTATTTATAAAAAATATATATATATATGTACATGAATTGATAAACGATATTCAGTTCTCGTGGTTTTGAAAAGTGATGAGACTGTAATGCGAAGCTAATTCTCGACAACTGCGCTAGCCAAACGATTTTCTATCGTATTTTAAAAAACTTTAAGGGAATGATATTTTTTAGCGTATATTTTACAGCAACAAATATGAAAAATAGTAAAAAACAAAAAAAAAATACAAAACATAATTTTGAAATTATTTTTTATGATATCGAGGGAAATGGTTAATGATATTTGTATGAAAATACTCTGTATGTACATACTACTTAGAAACTAATTTAAGGTTATGAGACATAATCTTTCTTTTCAGCGGCGATGTGATATAAAATAGTTATATTTTTGTTCGTTGAATCAGATTTTTCTATTCTTGTTGATTCTTCTTGAACTGGCAGAAAATTCATTCAGTTTTCAAAATGTTCTTTGCTAGAGTATTATTGTAAATATATTACGACCAAATTTATATAGGAATTGTACAATATATTTCATATATATTCGGAATTGTACAAAATATTTCATATATTGCAATTCAAATTATAAATACGTATAATTTTGTACAATTCCTAATATTATCAGGATCATCATGAATCTGTGTTGTTTGAAGATATTCGAAGAATATTTGTTGTTTATCGGTAATTTAATATTCATGGAAGAAAGTTTATAAATTAATTAACGTAAATCATGTATGCAAATCAATCCATCGTTCTGAAATAATTGTTAATAACTAACCGAATAAAAATTCATATTCGAAACTATGTTTTCACATTTCCAACTATATCACTTCCAATCTCGATTTAAATTCCCAATATAGTTTTTACAAAAACTATTTAATTACTGAGATTTAATATTAGCACAACTATTTATTTAATTTATATACAATGATATCATTTCCCGAGTACTTGCTTTGGAGCTACTGCTACAATCTGTTTACAATTGAATTTCTAAAATATTTATTACTATTTCATTTTCTTCTCATTTGAAAAGTGCGCGCGCCGCTACAGACATCGAAACGCTAGCGCCACGTAGCGGTGAAACATTGAAACTAATTGATACTCCTGTTCTTGTCGCACGATATCGCGCTCTTTGTCTGTCACGTGACATCAATTTGTCGCATACTGTTTTCTTCCTTTTCTACGATCTGTGTTGCCATCTATTAGATCTGGTTAGTGTTGTGCACATGTAATAGGAACATAGAATGTGCAAGAAGGTATCAGCGCTTGACAGACAAGGAGAGCGAATTACTCAATTTTTAGATAAAATGTATACGTTCTTAGAATTGTATAATGGACAGTAGACTATAAGCAATCTTCTTCTTTCTTTCTACAGGATTGTGACAATAAATTCTTGTTTAATTAATTAGATTTTAATAGACAATATACGTCTATGATTTTTTGCTAACATTGCACCTTTGGGGGATTAATTAAAATTTTGTGAGATTGTAGAAGTCCATACTTTACATTCCATACACGAAAGTTCATAAATTAATTACATGTATGCGTATTGTGAGAAAATTCGAGATAGTCATGTGTAATATGGATATGTGTAATATAATTAATTAATGGAATAGAAATTTTGCACCAAAGCAGTACGTGAATGTTCTTTCGCGTCTAGTCTTTTTTAAATGACTCCAAAAGTCATGAATTTATTCTAGGAATCGAATATGTGTCAGAGATTGATACATACCTCCTTGCATATTTTATATTCTTATTTTTTTGTAGTTCTAACCACATTCGATAGATGGCAGCAACTAACTGTTGCAGCAGATTCGTTCTACTAATTCACCGCTGCGTGGCATTAGTGTTTTAATGAATCGATAAAATTTTCATTTAAAGAAGAAATGGATTTAAAAAATCCATTTAATATCGTTTGCTGTTGGATCTATTTAATTGATTTCTCATCTTTCAATTACAAACATTTTATTTTTTGAATGATTTATTAGAAAAAAAAAAAAAACAAAAAACAAGGAGCAACACCTATGTGGTTTCAGAGACAAAGTATTTTTTTGGTCCACGATTTGGAGGTTCTAGGACTTCTTTACATATGCCCTATATGTTTTTTATTTCCATATGTCGTTTCCATCGGAACGACGTCCTGTCTCTGTCGTTTTCATTCGAATCGCGTTTTCGAGGCGTTGCAATCGTATTCCATGTTTAAATCGGTAACATAGGAAATTATATCAACCAAAAGATTTCTTTCATCTTTATTTTCTTACGTATCCTTACTTTTCGTGCAACAATTTTGTATAGTTTTATCGTCTTACAATATTGTAATGTTGCACGAGTCTGGTGATATATTAAAGATCTTTAAATTTGGAATACCAGCGATGCATTGCGGACACATTGTTCAACTCCCGGGCAGCCACCTGTCGCGCGCATGCGCGTTCACGTTAAAACACCTCGCTGGTCGTTTCGGAGTGTCAGTATAAACCAAAATGGCGAGAGTACCGATAGTCTGTGACAGCTCTCGGCCTGTTTCGCTCGCGTTCTCGAAGTTTTGAACGGGACGCGCGTGGTTATGTGGTTTGCGTGACTGATCTAACTACGAACGGTGAGTGAAGAATGATCGATTGCCCGTTACAAACGTCGAAACATGATTTTCCCCGATTTCTTTGGCTGGATCGACACCCTCCTATCGTTCGATGGACAGTGGCGGGGTGACATTGACGTTACTCGTTGAACTACGTGCTCGTTCTTACTATCCGTGAGTTTGAATTTTCGTCTCTCTCAGCGTCGGACACTATCCGCGTTAACACGAATGATCATGGGAAATCCGTTTGTTGGGCGTGTATCGCCGATCGTTCGGAAAACGAACGAACGTTAAAAGAAGAAAGAGGGAGAGAGAGAGAGAGAGAGA